TTACTGAGTGTTTTAGGGTAGACTGTAAAGGAGACTGTTGCAGTAGTCAATGAAGGAAATGATAAAGGCGTGAATTAGGGTTTCAGTGAGATGGGCGGAGTCTAGCAATGTTATTTAGATGGAAAAATGCAGTCCAGGTTATTTGGTTGACGTGATGAACAAAGGAAATATTGGAGTCCAAATAAATGCCAAGATTACGAATGAGTGGTGTCTATGGACAAAGAGAAATCATGGGTGGATCTGGTGATGTTTTTGGGACAGATGATGATAATCTGTTAGTAAAGAAACTGCAGCTTTTACAACAATAGGCCAAAAAAAAAGAAAGAAAATAATTACGTTTGATTAAAAGGGTAAAAATGATCCAAACATTTCAAATATCAGGTTACACGTTTGTGCACAGACTCGAACAAAAGCTTTTTGTTTATCCTCTAATCCTCACAGTTTTAGGCAAAGATTATATTGGCTGAACTAATCTTAACAAGTTTCATACTTTCTTAAGTTAATGTGCAGGAAAAAAAAGAATTTAAAAAATCACATTTTATTTGTCACATACACAGTAATACACAGTACGACTTGCAGCGAAATGCTTTTTGTAACTGACCTGAACACAAGCTAAAGATTCAAGTTTAAATTTAAAACAAAACAACAGGATAAGTGAAAAGCAGGAATGCAGAAGGTGCAAAACAATAAAAAATTAAAGAACACATGGGTATATAGGGTACAAAATAATTAAAATGTAAATTTATTTTTGAAAAGTGATTGACAGAAGAGCAACTGTGAAATCTGTTTGTGTAAGGTTGTAGAAGTTTTACATAAAGAAACATTATGATGTAAAATTAGTGAAAATTGTCTGTGAGGTACTCAGTATCACTTTGTTCATGAATTGTGTGTGTGGTCTGTTGAATTTCAGTTCAATTTTAAGTTAAAAAATAAAACATAATTTAAACTTCAAGAGTGCAAAATGTGCAAAACAATAAAGCAGAGAACATTATAAAATGTATAACATAACCAAAAGTGAATGGAGAAAACCCCAGTTTTTATTTGCATACTTCACAGTTTACTGAGGTAGATTAGTCAGCAGATTCGTTGGGATCATTTTTATAAGTAAAGCTCTTATCAGGACGTTTTTGTGGCTCTGGGATCTGGCCTGTCCACTTCAGTTTTTTTTTTTTTTTTTTTTGAGTAAAGCCATTACTTTTCAGATTTAAATATTTACTATATTTTCTAACATACGTCTAGCATCTTTGTACCAACATGGGCTAACATTTTAATTGATTCAGCCTCCCAGTTTCAGCAGAAGATGCTGCCACCAGTAATATATTTTATTATGTTATTTTAGTCATTCATTGCAGTGAGTCAAAATGTGTGATTTAATTCAATATTTCACATTGTTCTTGGCAGTTTTTTGTAGCCTAAAAGTATATTTTTACTCATTTTAGCTGAGCTAGGATAGTTTCATTTTATTTTTTTATTCTTATTTTTATATTTTATTTATTTATATTTTTTTTGTCTAATAGTTTGGCCCTTTTTGCTGCCCCTTAGTCAAGACATACAAAGAATGCAGGAGGTTGTTGTCACATGCGGTGAGCCATCGATGTTTGCCAGAAAGTCCTGCTGCTCTTTCTGTGTTGCCATAGGCCTTTTGGCAGCCTCCCTGACCAGTTTTGTCCTCGTCCACTCATCAGTCTTGGACAGACATCATATATAACTGGTGTGCCACACTTGTTGATAATTGTCAATATTGTATGTTACGTTATAGTCTGTGATGGACTTGCGACCTGTCCAGGGTGTACCCCGCCCCTTGCACTGTGACTGCTGGATATGGGCACCAATGACCCACGCAACCCTGAAAAGGAAGAAGCGTGTACAGAAAATGGATGGATGGATGGACGTTATAGCCATTACTTTGTACTTTGTCGCTGACTGTCAAACAACTGTTCAGTGACCAGATTCAGACAGAGGCAACCAAGAGGTTCTGAAGTGATCCAACAGCTTAGAGTGTAATAGATTGCAATAGTGTGCTATTTAAAATTTTACAAATCTTTTGTTTCTCCCAAATGTCAGTATCAAGTGTTTTGTTCTCCAGTGTGAAAGTTTGTCTCCGTTAAGCAAAAACGGGGCATTAAATAATTTTACGGTTTAAAAATCAACTGTAATTTTCAAGGGCAGCACGGTGGCTCAGTTGGTAGAGCTGATGCCTTTCAAGAAGGTCACTGGTTCAAATCCCGGTCCGGGGACCTTTCTGGGTAGAGTTTGCATGTTCTCTCCGTGCATGCGTGGGTTCTCTCCGGGTACTCCGGCTTCCTCCCACAGACCAAAAACATGACTGTTAGGTTAACTGATAACTCTAAATTGTCCCTAGGTATGAGTGAGAGAGTGAATGATTGTTTGTCTCGTTTGTCTCTATGTGTGGCCCTGTGATGGACTTGCGACCTGTCCAGGGTGTACCCCACCCCTCGCACTGTGACTGCTGGATGTGGGCACCAATGACCCATGTGACCCTGAAAAAAGGAAGAAGCGTGTACAGAAAATGGATGGATGTAATTTTCACTTTTGCAGCTCTTTGTTTTCCTGTCATCTTCTGTAACGATTCTTGCACTTAATACTAAGAAGTCAGGTTCGATCCTGGCTTCTCTGACCTGCATGTTGAAGGAAGTGTGCGTTGTTGGGAAAATGAGTCCCACGTTGCCCCTGATTTTTCCGACTGATGTGTTTGATAGGGCGAATGTGGTTTTTAGAGTAAAATAAAAACTTTAAGTAGCCATCAAGATTAGAACAGCAATGCGTAAAATGTATAATTGCACATCATTTTACTAAAACTCAACAGGTAAGCTGATGCATTGACTGAAATCCTCTACAAGAGATTGTCCTGCTGAAGGCTCTCTGAGTGAGATATCCTTATTGTCCAGCAGCTGAACCCTGACCTCTAAAATATTAGGCTCATAAAATAGTAATTTCACTATTTATGCTTTAAATCTCATGAGAAACCTCACTATAGTTCTTGCCCTGATAGGTCTCCTTTAACTCCACTGCAAGGAAAACGATTACTGGGTTTTGAGTATTTCTGAGACACTGTAAGAGGTTTAACAGGGACACCGCCCACACCACTAAATGTAGCAGTTCTCTGTCACCTCGCAGCAGTCCTGATCTTCCTGCCATACCCAGACGGAGACGCAAGGTGGAAACAAAAGGAGAGGCAGGAAGACTTGAACATCGCCCTCGGGTCCCACACTATCTGTCCTTTCCATGAGCGTGCAGATGGGAGAGGCGGAAACGTGCCTCTGCACTACAAACAAGCACCAGACTATTTTAAGGTCACTTGTAAGTCTCAGGGTATCAGCCAGTGTGATAGCTCCTAAGATTGTGAATGCGCCTCATTTTGGATTGAGCCCAATGATTACACAGCTTTAGACAGGATTATACGTGAAGCCTTACAAGCACTGGTTTATTTTGACTCTCTGTTTGATACTTATTAGAGGAAATATTGCCTAACACTGCTGCAAGGCATGTTCTTTCTGCAAAAAAAATGGGGTAAAGAGTGTCTGGGTGTTTATGCATCACTGTCATCATTGTCGAATCTGCCTCATGATTCGTCGATCATGTTTCAGTAAAGTTTGTCTCATCGCTGCATCACCCTTCGGCTTTCTTTAAATCGTAACCTCTGATGGGTGATGAACCTTGTTGTGGACATGCAGAGAGGTTTGGGGATCTGCAGAGGCGGTGCATTATCAGAGACCGAAGCAAAGGCCGGAAGGGGGCTGCTAGGGCCGTGCCCTATCATACAGACAGGTCACTTGACTCCATTGCCCTCTTGTGATTATTGGTGGCCTCTCTGCAGGCAGTCTTCATTCACAGAGACGACCTGGGGAAATTCAGGTACTCATCTGCTCATCTCCGGGTTATTATTCATCTTCCTCCACAGCTGAGCTCAGAACTTGACCTGAGCACGTGGCAAACATGCAGGTGTCAATCCTTAAGCTGAAGACAGGAGCTAAAAAATAGTTTAGCAACAAAACTGCCATTCAGGGTCATTTTTTTTTTCAAAGCTGTAGGGAAGTAAAGATGATGTGTAAAAACTGACTGGTTGAAAAGAATGTTTTTTTGTTTGTTCCTTCATTGATGGTAAATGGCTTTGATGTATGTGAAGAATCTTCTAGATAAAACACGTGGCTCTCTGATGGCAAAACCAGGCACATCTGAGTTCAGGAGCATTGATTTTACTATCCAGACGTATTCTGATTTGACCCCTAACTGTGAGTCCATCCTCCTAACAGACTTGGATTGTTTAGTTGGCTTTCTTCCTTTTCAAAAGAATCACTTTCTGATGTGAGTCCTGAGCAGCCGTTAATGCAATTACTCCGCACATGGAAAAACCAGAATGTCGCAGATTCCCTGGATTTCAGAGCAAAGTATCAACGTCTTATGAAAACGCGAGCATATGAAGATACAGTCGGCCTTTATTTGTAGAATCTGTTAAAGTTTGCAAGTTTAAAGCACACAGGGTTTTCTTTACTTGGAAGGGTAGTTGTGAATTTGTCTTTTTTATTAGTAAAGGGAGGGGGAACTGCAGGGAATCAGTGGTTGTCAAAATGTAAGAAGTGATATTGTCATACCAGCCGGATGGCCGTCTGGTGTTTGTTTAAAAGGGGAGGGAAGAAAAAAAAACAGTCCAGGCGATTGAATCATTTCTTCTTGCCAATACGTCCTTGCGTTCCCACCTCCATCATTACAGCAACATGTTTTATTTTCAGCAGTGCTGTTCTCAGTGACTCACATCCCGGAGCCATGTGCTGCTCAGTTAGGCCTCAGATCCTTTAAACACAGACCGACTGGTCAGAAGAAATGCTCTCGTAATGCACCAGAGAGTGCACTCAGAATATGGCTTAATGTTGGAGTCTTTTTTTTAGCAGACTGAACACAAACGTCAAGTTTCTTCATGCACAATATTTGTAAATACTAATACACATCTCTGTTTCTTGTGTGTCTTCCTGCTTCACCAGGTGAATGGGACTTGCTGGCCTTCGCAACAATGTTTGGTTTGGGAGAACCTGTGGCCGCGGTGCAGTTTTTCAACCAGAATTACAAAGACTGAAGATGCCCGTGCAGACGCTGCAGATAGATGAAGAATCTCTCACTATGGTGATGCAACACATTGCTTTCATTGTAATGTTTCTGAGCAATAAACAGCAGCGGTTCTTCAAAGCCTGCACAATGCTTCTATCTTATCGCTGAGTTGGAAAGAGAGAGAGAGAGTTCCTCTTTGTGCTGCAGCAGCTGATGGCTTTTGATGTCACCCCGTATCTTTGCCACGTGATCCGGAGCGAAGGATTCAGGAGATCGATTTTGACTCTCGCTGGGGATTTCTTAATAGTTTCCAAACACCGCTGACAAGAGAAGGAAGACGGCCCGAATATCACAACTCAGTGTGGAAAGACTTGATTCTAATTCAGGGCCGGAAACACGTCAGGGCCAAAAAAAAGGAAGTGGGAGGTGAAACCGAGACCGCAGCTCAGCCGGATGCTGCAGTGGAACTTCAACCAAAATACTCTACAGTGTGACAGGACGGGAGGGGGAGGGGCCATGGGGCCTGTCATGTACTGGCTGAGGGGAACTTGCTGTTTGTGTAATTGTTTATCATATTTCCACTGACCACTCTCACCCCAACTTGGAAACAATGAGCTACTTTTAGGTTCTCAACTTGAGCAGCTGAAGTGAAAACGGCTCTGTTTTGATGGTGCCCTTCAGTCTAACTTTGGGACGGTGGACCCATTCCGAACTTTTAAAAAGAGCTACTTAAGAGCCTCACCTGGCAGGTCTGCAGAGGGATGGTGAGCGTAAACTTTTCAACCCATTCAGACTTTGCAGGTCTTTGTAGAGGGGCCGGTCAGAGTACCCCCTGTGGGGTATATTGGTTTCTAACTAGCAACTCCCCTCCGGGAATGCTTTGTATCAATACCCCAGATATCTGGAAAAAAGGCTGGATTTACATGAGTAACTTTGATGTTCTGATGATCAATCTTCCGTCGGTGGTTTGATTGACCCCGGTTTGGTGTCTCATCAGTGGGCTCGGCAGGAGTAGGTAATGGAGGTTTCTGTTCCTTTGGTGGTTAAGCCAGCCTTGGTAAACCCCTGTGTGCCCTCCCCGTGAACTCTGGGAGATCATTGATCAATTTGTCCTGTGTTTGCTTTGTTTGCCTCCCAGACTTAGCAGTCAAAGCATCCGAGTTCACAAACAAAACAACCAAAACAATGCACATTAGCACTCAGTCAGAGAGAGAAACCGCTGCATTTGAACCAGCGTTAGGCATCCGTCGGTGCGAGTTTTGCTCTTGACCTTGGTTCGCTCATCTCATTTGACTTATGAAATCACATTTCTAACAACTGGCAGGAGCAGGATAATTCCACACTCATTGTGAAGCATGCCAAATGGGAGAGCAGTCTTCCAAAAACCACCTACTTGAATCCATCATTACAAGATTGAAAACGCCAAGATCTGCACTTCCAAATACACTGTGCATTTTTTCCCTCTCTCTCTCTCTCTTTATGTCTTGGAGATATCCTGCCAAAACAGCTGGGCTTCACCTCTCGATTTCCTTAAATGTGTTTATTTTTACTCCAAATGTCAAGAGAGTTGAGATATTATGATTTAAGAAAATTGACAGCTGTAGTTTAGTGCTGCACAGTATATAGGCTTCTCTGAGAAGGGAAATAAAAAAATTGCTTCTCACATCCCCTGGTGAAACGAGAAAGACATTTATTATTTTCTTAATGTATTCAAACTTACCTTAATTAAAAGAATTCGTATAATCAATTCAGTTGCCTCACTGATGATGAGTGATCGAATATGCATGATGACTTGGCTGCTGAAGGAGTGCAGGAGTTTTTTTTATTTCACAGGAGAATTTCTGCAGTTTATAACATTAAAGGTTGAATTTAAGCGCAACATCTGTTCGGCGATTGTCAACAACTTTAGTCTACTTTTCCACCTCATACATTAATTTACTTTCCCATTATTTATTTTCTTTTCAACTTTCACAGACTGATAATTGTCCTGTGGATCTAACCTCGGAGATTGAGTGAAGTTTAAAGCATCTGGAGAGTTGAGCGCTGCCTCAGAATTTAATTTATATGCATATCTAAATATTTAGGACTTGTTTTTTTTTTACATTCATTGAAAGCAACTGAGGAATTTAAAAATGCCCCCAATGAACTTTGTAAAGATTTTTGTTAGAGTTGTCTGTGCTAGCCTTGTAATCTAAATGCACGCTCTTATATTTTCTGTTAATGCTTTAAAACAAACCTCATACAGACACAGAAACTATGGCAAATTCATGATTTTTAAAAATGAGGCAGTGTATTTTTTCCCCTGTTCCAGCTAATTTTTGATATTTGCACATTTAGAGACATGTGCCACCTTACTATTTATTCAGGTTTAACAGTTATACAAGGTTGCTAAAATTCCCTTTCAAAACTGTTCTCATTTGTGGCTCCATTACGGAGGAACAAGTGATGCTATCAGAGCAGACACCACCCTCTAATTGTAAGAATCTCTTAGACTTGTTCTTTAAATAAAACCCTTTTTTTTTTCAGGACCTCTGACCCACCTAACCTGCGCTCACGCTGCTTTTCTACTTCACCTGTAGTGTCATTTAATTTTAGATTTAGTAATTGATGTGAAAACCAGGGTTTCTCAAATCTTAATTGCTGTTTCCCACTTGCTGCTTTGGATAAAAGTGTCAGCTAAATCAAAAATGAAACCAAACCTGAAAAGTGGAGTGTGTTTTATCCGTCTGATTTATTATATACATATATGGTCTGACTTGAATGATCTTTTAATCGTTTAATTGTTTATTTAACAGAGATATTGCACAATACATTTATTGCTCAGGCCAGAGATAGCTACAAGTTAATTTTCATCTGTTGGCCCTGGGCAGAGGCAAAGTAACAGCAAGTTAAAAATTCATTAGTAGACTACACACAGTCTTTAAAACACAATTCTGCTTAAACAATAAAAAATATCCAACACTTAATGGTGAACCAGCCGAAAGATCAGATCAACAAAACATTTGCAGATTACACACCATAATGACTACACACCTGATGATCCACCAACCATTTCTTTACATTACATTTAAACCGTAAAGTACAACAGTCTTAACGCAAACAGGTAAAGAGTTTCACATTTCTGCTGCTCCAGCTGAAAAGCAGTCTTGTCAAAATGATGTCGATCTAAAGTTGACCTAACCCTCTCCTCTAGAGGAGGCCCTTGTGGACCTGACACCTGCTTCATCACAAGATTTCAAACACTCTAAGAGCAAGGACCTTAACATCTTTATACACCAAACGAATATTAGCCATAAAAATAAAATCGTCAAATGTTAAAAATTTGTATTTCTTGACAATAATAGAGTAATGATAAGCGATAAGTTTTTATGAAATATTTTGAGTCCCTGTTTATGCAGACTATGAAGTGGTTATAAAGCTGTATCACTTGTGTCAGTATAAGTTGTTATGCAACATGTAAAAAGAGAAAATATCATGGAAAGTATAAAGATCTTAGCTCCATCTGTGCTCATCTGATGATGAATAAATCCAAACTGAGCTAGGTTAAACTTGACAATTTAAGAAACTTTAGAAATGTCCAGCCCTACCCCTAAGTAACTGACAGATTCAGCTTGTGTCTTCTGTCCTCAATTATATCAGACATACTAGTTTGGTTTTTTCTTATGAGAAAAAAAAGTTTAAATAAGATTCAATGAATATGTCATTTGTTGTGTCATTTTTTTCTTATTGCACTCTTAAACATTCTGTTTTTGATTTGGCATGGACATAAAGGTGTTGTCAGATGACAGGAAGTTTATGAATATAAACACTGGACAGCAGGGGGCCCAAGACTGATCCTTAGGGTACCCCTAATCACTTGCTTTGCACTGAATATCACCAAGGATCAATGTTCCACTATATGTTGTGGGGCAATTTGCTCCTGGTAGGCTCTCATGGCAAACTGGATTCTGGGTTAAGGGGCTTGACAAAGCATGATCCAGCAACACTTAATGACTATACAACACTAAGAGACTACAATATTTGCCTGAAATAAAGACACCAGAGGCCCACCATGGTGGACCCATCACCCTCCTACTGTGTTTTTCAACCCTGGTCCTCAGGGCACACTGCCCTGCATGTTTTAGATGTTTCCCTGCTTCAACACAGCTGATTTTAGTTGGTAACTGATTAGCAGGCGTTTGATGAACTGCAGTCATCTGAATCAGGTGTGTCAAAGCAGGGAGACCTCTAAAACATGCAGGACAGTGTGCCTTGAGGACCAGGGTTGAAATACAATGATCTGGCAGGTCTGGTAGGTACCAGCACATTTTGGACTGGGCAACAGAAACAAGGGCCTCGGTTGTCCAGCTCTTAGTTCTTGAAAATGGCTTTAGGGACATTGAATATAACACCTGTTAGTGTTTAGAAATATCATCTGAGATTTGTAGTTTCTAGAAGTAATTAGACTAAGATCTTTAATTTAGTTTATTTATTTGATCAGGACAATGCACATTAATGAACAACATTATACTTCTGTACAGACTGTAAATGAGCCAGATTATATAGTTGCTAATTTATATCTGTAGTCCTGAGGCAAGAAAACAAAACAACACAAGATCACAATATCAAGCAAAACACTGTTCAGACATTTGACACTACAACCATAAAATGAATCAAAGTGAGTACATGACTGGGAACTTTTAAGAGACTGTTTAAGGTGGTTTTTAAATGTGCCATAAGTGGGACGTTCTCTTATGATTGTTGGGAGACTGTTCCACAAATGACCTCTAATAAACATAATAATAATATATAATGTTGAGACCCATTCATGTGCCATTTATCAGATCAGCATGTACATTATGTACAAATGTTTTAAGTGGTGCAGAATAGACATTTATATTAACAAAGGAAGCATTTACTTTAAATGCCTCAGTCCTTGAAGGAATGCATACTGTATTCCCCATCATCTTTCATACCAGAGTTTTAAACTACCATCTATTTTGCAAAATGATGATGTTACGGTGTGTTTGTGAGTGACTCTGTGCTACTTCAAATTTTAGCTCAATATATGTAAAATTGTCTGAGTCATATAGTCATTTTTGAATATATTAAAGTGACTTGACTGTGATGACCAATCAGGTCCAATAGAGAATCAGTTGTACGTCCAATAATTACTTTCTGAAAACTTCAGTTAATCTGTTAGGTGAGTTAAGTAATATTTTGCTAACATTCAGACAGCGATCACGTCATATTGGATGGCAAAGTTTTGAGATATCTTGCGGAATGATCTCCATCAATGGCAGGTGTTAATAAAAGAAAGAATGTAGAGTTTGTCTAACTGGAACTAGCTTTTATGCTAACAACAAGAGCTAGTTTTCCCTTTCCAGATTAAACATGGAAAAACAAAACGAATTTGACTATACATACATGATGCCCGGAGAGGTTTTCCACAGTGCCTCTTCTTCCATGGAATTCCCGTATGCAAAAGAGCTGTCAGCCACTGTAGTCAAAGAGACCTCACACCACCGCTTATTGATAAAACAGCACGCCTGTCTTCTGTGACCCATCTCATGCTCGAGGAAATACACCTGATACAAGTAAGTGTTCCATTTGGGGTGGACAACTTTCCGACCGCAGAGGCTTTCAAATCCACCCTGTCTGTTAGAAAGCCTCTGTACGATGGTGAGTTCTGAACCACACCTGAGGGGATTCTCTCACTGCTTTGCATCTGTTGACACAACAGAGGAACCCTTTTTCCACAGATCGAAGTTTGCAACTTGTTTACATGGACAAAAATAGAAGGAAAATTAGGCGATCAAAAAGCCCGCTATGAAGACACGCTAGGTTGTGTTTTGAAAAAATGGTTTGAATGTTTTGAACCTTTAAAATGCAAAGATGAGGTCATGAGTCATGTCAATATTCTGCCTGACCTCACACTGATGAGGGATTTTATTTGGTACTAATGTGGTCTGTAAAGCTACTTTATAGAAGGCCCAAAAAGTAATGAATGGGGTTATCTGGTTGTTTTTTAAATGTTCTGTCAAATAACCATCAGTATTTAGTGTTTTATATCAACCATGACTTCCGTCTTGAGTCCTAAGTGTGAAGAAAAGACCATTTTTTTTTTGGTTTTTGTTTTGTTTGTTTGTTTTTGTCCATGCTAAGCCAACAGCCAACCAAATGAAGGCCTGTATATGCACTTTTGAATTAATGTTTGTTGCTGTTTTATGAACTGAAATGCAGATATTGGGGTTATTACACCAATGCATCAAAATATATGAACATAAATTATCACTAGGTACTGGATTTGAAGCATGAAATTGAAGCCACAAAGGCTGCAGTCCTGCCCCAAACAAAAAGGACATTCTCCTGATTAAAAGAAAAAAAACATAAGAAAACATTTTTTCAGGTGCTGATTTTTGTTGATTCATTTATCTTGCTGTTGTATATAATGTTCCAATATACATTTCTGCCAGTATGTTTCAATTAGTTATTTGAGGCTTAATGAAAAGTGTCATGTAACACTGATTGACAAGAATGAACCTGTTGAAGAGTGGGGAGGGTGGACTTTTGTACCAAGAACACAGCCTCCAGCTTCAAAAATACAACACATGCCCCCCCAAAAATGCACATTTTAACTTAAATTATGAACAACAAGAAAAGTCTATTATGTCAGTGGTATATGTAGGACTGATACATTCAGCAGCCTCAGCACCACTGGTTTGTCACTTAGCACACAAACATTCATTTGACACAAACACTGTTTGAGGAAAAAAGGTGACAAACTAAAATCGTATCATGGTGCAAAAGTGTAATTTTAACTAATGGGGCAATATTATAGGCAGAAACATGGGTGTGCCATGGGATCCCCAGTTTCTCCTATTGTTGCAAACCTGTACATGGAGGAAGTGGAAAACAGAGCCTTGATGTCCTTTTCAGGGGTGCCACCGAGCCATTGGTTCAGATATGTTGACGACACCTGGGTTAAAATTAAAGCCCAGAAGTCCAACATTTCACTGATCACATCAACTCTGTGGATGAATATATAAAGTTCACACGAGAGGATGTAAAAAATGGCAGGTTGGCGTTCCTGGATTGCGATGTCTCTGTTTCGGATGGAGGATGGTTGGAAACTGGCGTATATCGTAAGCCCACCCACACAGACCAATATTTGCGTTTTGACTCCCACCACCCACTGGAACACAAGTTAGGAGTGATCAGGACTCTGTACCACAGAGCAGACAGTGTCCCTACAAACCCAGGAGCCAGGGAGAAATCACACACACGACAGGCCCTGGAGC